CGGACATCCAGAAAAGATGGCCTGCTGCTATTGTATACGTATGTCGCCTTAGCAACGGGAAGCAAGCGTCCGCTGGACGACCATGAAGAGATGACGGTAGCTGCCGCACAATAAGCATTCTGCAGCAGAAAGTGAACATGTGCTGATTCCCATTGCGAGGGCCTCGAGAAATTCTACACATATTTTCAAGTGATTCTTCCCTACTTGCAGCCCCGACAAATCAACTGATTTCGTACTGATTGAGCATGAGCACCAGCAAGCATACCACAACAGGCGGATGCGTCCGAACCGTCCTAACATCCGGGATGAGCTTGTCATAGTGTAGCGGGGCATGCCTACGGCAAATTGCAACTTCGCCAGGGGGTAAAGTTGCCTCGGCCTCGGCCGTGAAATGCCCGTTTTGCAGGAGGTTCCTTACTTGATGTCAACAGTTGACATTACGAACATCATGAGCCCTAGAACCTTGAAGGCCTCGCACTTGGTGCTTGGTGAGCCGGACTCGGACAGTAACATCAGAACAAAGTTGAGCCTTTCGCTCCACTCGGGAACTGAGACCTCCCGAAGTCGGTGCATCAAACAGCTTGGTCGCCACGATTCCCACAAGGCGCTGGTGCTCTTCTTCGACACGATGCCTCGTAGCGCCTATGCACTAGCCTGCTGGGAGCACGGTGCCCGCACCTTGGCAGGGCTCGAGCGATTTTGTTTGGGACTTTCCCGGCACGAAGGTTCTCCGATGCAAGGAGTCTCATTAAACTGACAGCTGAAACCTAAGATTGCAAGGAAGGGAAAGATGATGCCTGGAGCCGAATGAAACTTTGGTGGGGTGGGGGCAGCGGCACATTTTGGAAAAGGTGAGTCCTTGAAGTAACTTGTAGATGCTGATTGCTGGCCCGTCAGCACTGATCACGAAAGCTAGCTTTAGCTAGCTGAAGTTTCTCCTTGCGTAAGCAAGGTAAGGGGCTCAACTGCCGAAAGATTGTTTTTTTCAATTATTTGAGCCGAAAAGATTGAAACAAATCAATTATTTAGACCCCCCCCCCCCCTCCCCCCCCCCCCGTCTCAGGCTCGATTCCTCCTTGGTCCACCCCTCCCCCCGGGCAGTGGCTCAGTGTTTCAGCAGTCTCGGTTTGCCCGTTTTGGACTTGGTGCTACGAACTTTTACATGTTCCACCGATTCAGCTTGTTCATTTGAGACCTCAGTCTTCTCAGTAAACCACCTCGCAAGAATCTTTGCACACGCAGCATGCAGAACCCAGAGGTGCTTTAAGACAGCTTCTGACGCCTCTCGTTGTTTTCATTTTTCAAGGTTTGCCACGCCACCATGTGCGTTTGCGTGTCGCATCCTACGAATCTTGCCGGGCCTCTCGTTGTACACAAGCTACCTATGAATCCACTCTGTCACCGACCCATCTCATGCAACAACTGCTAGCTTTCGTTCACCCGCTCCTCAAGTTGTTGATCCTTCATCATCGGTCCAAGCATGTCCTGTCCCGTATGGCAAGCAAAGGAATGATGCCACTGAGAAAGGTTCTTCTGACACGCTGGCCTTCGGGTATTTTTTGTTCATCAGCCGCATGGCGACTTGACCCGCCTGAGGCATGCTCAAGCAGCCTGGCTGCACCAGCCTGACCTGTTGGGTGTCAAGCCGCGGGGCTTTGGGTATCACCTTTTGGCAGTCAATTTCTTGGTTCTGGATGAGCAAACAAAAAGCGCCCACAGGCCCTTGGCGTTTTGTCCACCTTGACGCTCCGACGTCTACAACGCCCAGCCTTTGTGAAATCCCTTGCTTGTTTTCTTCAGCTGTTCGGCCCAGGAAAGAGGGAAGCAAGGCCGGTTGGGCGAGTGCCACGTGTGTAGCCAAGCTTGAGCTATGCTGACACCGCTGGCCCGCACCCAGTAGAACACAGCATGATTTGCATCGTCCGTTCTTCTTGCCTCAAACACGACGGCAAACACAATGGCATGCGGTGCAAAACCTGGTTCAAGAGCAGTTGCTGACTACCTCACATAAGAAATCGCGCTCTTGCTTCTCACCCACAGCGCCATGACCTTCTTGAATCCTGTGCCATTTGCTCATTTCGCGCAACGTAGGGGAACTCAAGGCATGTCGTTTTTGCAAGACATGATGATCACCGTATGTTAGATGGGGGTTGCTGCAGAACAAGCGGAAGAGGTCACCTCGCGCGTCTCATGAGCTGCAATTCCATTTGCTTCAAGTCCACACGTCCACCTCCGTGCAGGACCTGCAGAAGGCGGTGCTTGCGAGATACAATTCCTCAGCAGGAGCCTTGCTGGACAGATGGTTCCGGTTCAAAGTTGGTGGACACCCAATTTCCAGTGGGCAAGTAAAAGCGACCTCCCTGCCCCAACCCGGAAGTTTGGAGGCAAGGCTCGCACCAGTTGGGAGCGCTCACCCGAAAACCATGCTCCAGATATTTGCAGGTAGGCGCATCATAATTTGAATCGTGATCTATTAGAGGCTTGCAGAAGTGGTCACGGTGCAGCATCAGTCTCAGGAGATACTTGGGGCTACAGCTTCCAAGGGCCTTTGCCAAAGGCATTGCTGTACAGGCACCTTTGGCTGCACTGACTCCGTGGACGACTCAACACTGGTTTGTGTTCGAAGCAGGTTCTCTGCGTTTCTGTCGAAGGGTGACTGCTTGAACCCAAATACATAAACCTATGCCTCATTGAAAGGCCTTCTGGTGGCTGGCGTCTCACAACAAGCCATCATTTGATGTCTATTGGCTATTTGACCCATAAACTAGAGGTTGATACCAGAGGTAAGATCAATATTAGGGCTGCTGCTCATTGTTCACCTCATTTCAAGGCTCTGTCTGTGTTTGTTGGCTGATATTGGCGGTTTTGCTACGCGCCGTGCTGAGACTTCCAGCTCATTTTTACGCACCCCAACTCACTGGCGCGGCTTCGGGACCAAGAGCTAAATGAAGGAAGCAACCTACGCCAAATGGTGAAGCACGACAAGTTCATAGTGCCTTCTTGCCACGTGTAGGGAGCCTACAGCAGCTGACACAAAAACCTTATGCAACTCAAGACATGTTTGCTGCTGCCATGTCAAAAAAGCATACATCACAATATCGAGACAATGAGTTGACCCTCAAAGCAGTCACGGCTCAGGCCTTCGCTTTTGGGCCATGAACCCAACTCTGACAAACAGCACAAAAGGCATGGGCAGCCACTTTGTTGAAGCTCAGTTCAAAAGCTTAGCACCAACCGTTCCTAATAGAGAGCCAGTGGCGTGGCATCATCCGGAAGTTGGATATCCTGCCTTTGGAAATCACTAGTTTCCCTTCAGCATTCTTCAAACCGAAAGCTGAGCCAGCTCTTGGAATCCCTTGCATGATCCCATGGACATCAGGAAGGGCTACCGCAACCCCAAGAAGTACAATGGCCAGCTGGTTCCGTGGCTGGCAAGGAGCCAACCGAAAGACAGACAAGGCCCTTATGCTCGCTCGCTCGCTTGTGGTTTGTTAATTTGCTTCCTTGCTTCCTTGCTTCCTTGCTTCCTTGCTTTCTTTTACTTGCGTGCTTGGCAAGTAAGCAGGAGGGAAGGGAGGATCGGGCAGGTGGGCGAGGTGGGTTGTCGAGTGAGTTGGGCTCCCATGTGAGCACGGGGTTATGCTGGTCGGTGTTAATTGCTTGTTTTGGAACCGGATGGGGCAGGGCCTTTCGCGGCAACTACCTGAAGACATGGCATGTTTTGATTGAAGTGGAATTCCGTGAAATTTGTTCAGACACTCCCGTGCGGGTGGACCCAGGACGGGGTGCATCTGTTTAAGGTTTACAGAGGCTGTGCTACTGTTCAGCCGGCCTTTCCGTGTCAACCAAGGATGGACCACAGGACTTGGTGGCCCCTTGGCCTTTCCATTGGCTGGATAAGAGCTTTCCCGCATCAGATCTGGGCTCGGTTTCCGCCATCAGATCTGCGGTCAATTTCCGGTGTGTCTTGTCAAACGGTTCAGAATTTGGAAGCATCAGGTCCCCTCAAGAGTTTCTGGGGTTTCCACCTTTTCCACCGTTTCTTGCAACGGCCGTGGGCCGACACTCATTCTTGCTTGTGCTTGCGGGCGTGAGATGTTGTAGAGTCATTGTAGGGATTGAAACTCGCAGCACCACATACATGCTGCCTTGCAACCAACCTTCCGGTGCGAGACAAGATTGCAGTTTGCACATGCAGATGTCTTCCTTGCATGAGTTTGGCGATGAAACGCTCAATTCAAAGGCTGCATCAATCACTTTGCCGAGAGGTCCTAAGAAGTTGCACGGGGAGCTGTTGCAAGGCAGTCAGTTGACCCAATCACCGTCGTGGAAGGCTGATGTGTTCAAGAGCGACCGGTGGACATGGTTTCCGCGCTGCCACGTGTGACAGATGCTCTCAGGCGTGGATGAAGGAGGAGGTTGCGATGTACATGAAGGAGGGAACGCCATCTTAGCGTGTTGTGTTCTTGTCACTCCCCGCAGGGCTCATCAGCATATCAGAATCAGTGACCTGAGGCCCTTGATTTAGCTGGAGTTGAAAGGGCGCCAAAGAAGACCGCCTATCAGCACATTCCCGCTTTGTGCCGCGTCAGGACGACACCGCATCCTTTCCACGGAAGGAGCTTTGAGCGCGGGTTGAAGCTGTGTTCAAGCTGTGTGCTTGGAATGTCCAAGCAGCCCATAGACCGCAGCGCCGTCCCATTTACGCATGTGAAACTGATCAAATAGTCTTTAGCCTCATGTTTTGTCATGTTTTTTGGGATCGAAGGCGGGGCTCATTGATTTCCGACGTTGGCAAGTCTGCACGCTTGGGCAGCAACCTGTCAATCAGTGCACAAAGACTGCCGCAGAAGTCACAAAAGCTGCATTGGGAGCTTGTGACGCCTTCAACCTTTGTATTGCTCCACATAGGCATTAATTACCCATTTGGGCCATCCAAGTTTCTTGCTTGAGGGGCTTGCGGTTCGCCTGCGTGACTTGCGACATTTGCCGCAACCCAGGCCAGACCTCCGGCCAGGAGGGCGGTTTAATGACTTGGGGCGCCTCGGCCGGTTCGGAACCATTGGGTTGTGGCCCCCTCTGTTCGCATGATGTATGGCGCATCATGGGCTGGAAGGAAACTTGCAATGGCAGGTAGGCTCGGGGGGTGTTGCAAGCTTTGACTACGCTTGTCAATGCTGCCACTCTTTGTAGCGCTACCCTAGGAGAGCAGAGTCCAGATTGTGTGATTTGATTCAAGGGGCACACGAGACTGGAAGGCAGTTTAAGTAAACAACAAATCCACACTAACAGACGGTCTTGTAGCGGCACCGAATCCTTTCTCTTTTCTCTGTGTGTGTGTGTGTGCGTGAGTTGCCTCCTTCCCTCTTCCGGACATGGCTGTTTGTCGAAATTTGAGGGGGCCCGGCCCCGTTGTTGTTGTTTGCCCGCAGCGTTGTCGAGGGTTTGGCCTAGGCAGAGGGCTGCCGAAGAGGCCTCGCAGCTTGCGAAGATCTTCCGACAGAGCCTGCCGCAGCCTCAAGCGTCAGGCACTCGGTCAGGGGGGGGAACGACACTGAGGTCTTTGAATCCCCCCCCCCCCCCAGTTCACAGGCTTCCAAGCCTAAGTGTCGCCGCTTTCCACTGGCCTTCCTCGTTCAGACGACCCTGTAAGTCCTCTTCTGCGGGATGCGCATCCGTGATTGAATCAAACCGGGGTGCTCTTCTGCCTGCGGAACCTCACACGCCAAAGCTCCTGCCTCATCAATGGGGAGTGCCAGTAGTGTTTGCTGCAAATAGCATCATATAATCACAGCTCGGGTTTCATGCCATGGTGAAAGCCTTGTCCTTTCTTCATTGTGTTGCGCTTGTGCCTGATTCTCCCTGCCGGCAGACCGTTCCGAGTGGGCTTCAGCCTGGCTTCTGTCTAGATGTGCCCAGGCCAAAGGTCGGCCCACTACGCGTCCGACTCGCCTGCCGTGGCCTGAGCATTGTGCCAGGTGAGGAGCTATGCTTTTGCTTGGCAGTTTTTGATTTGGGAATGACCAGGGTTGCCAACAGGTCACCCAGGTAGGCCTTTTGGAGAGCAAAGGCCTTTTTCTTTTGCACAGACGGTCACGGGCCACCACTCCTGCTCAGACAGACGAAGGAGTCCAATAGCTTTGCGCAGGATTGTACATAGTTCCCGCTATCTTTTTTGGGAGCCGCAGCCAGTTTTCAGTCAAGGAACGCAAGCTGGATGTGCAAAGAGGATAGGATAAACGAGCTGATGGTGTGGAGGCCAAAGTGGAGACTGTTAGGACTGGTGCCACTTACAAGACCCGCATGAGCGAACCATTGAACATGCATGCTTTACATGCCGAATGAATTGCAAGAGTCAAAGAATATGAAAAAGGAAAGTGCGCATCCTGCTGGGCAAGCATGTCACGCTCTTGCTTCGAGGCCTCAGCCACGTCCAGTGCTCCAGGCTTCACTGGGACGACGTGCCCCTACGCCTCGCCTCACGGCGCCAATTCAGTGACCAGGTTGACAACAAGTTTCCTTTGGCTTCTTTCCCCGAGGGATGATCTTTGGAAAGCCTATGAGTTATCATGCGTTCACGTAAGTTCATTGTTTTTAGTGGCTGGCCTGTCTTCCCTTGACTTGTTCTCGCCTGAAGAAGCACCGCACAACTGGCTACGTAACAAGTTACCACTATTCTTGGGCAAAAGACATCTCCCGATATTTCCCGCCAGCTCCTCTAAAGCCTCTGATCATCGCTCTGCTATGCCTTGAAGCCATCATGGCTCCAAGCTAATGACGCGGATTGGGGCCCCCTGTTTGGTGGGCCCGGACCGAACGCCCGGCTCTTTGGGTTTTCCGGGGTCCTTGGGGTCCCTGGGGTCCCTGGGGTCCGGGTGGCGCTGGGATGGCGCTGCAGAGCCAGATCTCCAGCGCCGGCGTGGAGCAGAACGCCTCGCTGCGGCTGAAGCTGGAGGAGTTGGACGGCATCATGGGCCGCCTGGACGCCCGCACGGCCGTGAAATTGGAGGACTCCACGCAACATGCAGCGATGCAGGCCGTTTCAGGGAGGCGCCCCGCAAGGGCATAGGCCGTGTTTTACGGAAGCCCATTTTTCAGCCACCAACTGGGACACCTGCATTTCTGGCAGCACCTCAGGAGGATGACATAGACCCCGATGCAGGGATTTACGCGGCTCGGCCTGCAGGGAAGGGCCCAGTGGTATGAAGACCAGACATTTGCAATGATGGATTCGTGTGGGAGCCAAAGAATTGACAGGAAACTAACAAGGGACTCTTTAACCAAGCTACCGTCAGAATCTTCGTGGGATTTGCGGTGGCTGGGCACCGCTGGAGATCTTCATGACGAGGTTTGTTATTGTAATTGCTTGAGTTGAAGCCACAGGGTCGCCAAGCCAACGTGCAGAGCTGCTTGGAGCATTGAATTCGCAGATTATTGTTATTTTGCATGTTTGAATTCCACATAATTCCACGGAAGAATGCTTCGTTTCCGAAGCTGATTTGTCTCAAAATGATGGCATTTCATCTTGGCTGCTCGTACGAGGGCAAAATAATGCCACGCCTTGTGTTGAAACCAACGGGAAACCTGTCTGGCATGGTGTTCGCGTCAGGCGGACACGTGGACCACAGGCAACACTGTTGATTGCGTTTTTGCGGCCCAGGAGAGCTGCGTTCGTTCCCTGCCCAAGTTCGAGCCCCTGACCTGCGCGGGCTGCGAGCGCGCGGAGCGCGCCGAGCGAGGGCACCTGGACTTTCAACCCCCGGAGCTGAAGCCGCGCGGGGTCTTGCCAGCTCACATCCAGGAGGAGGCGGTTTGGGCCTAACCGCACGTTTCAGGTCAACATCAACACTGGGTTGGATCATTTTAGACCGGAGCAAAGCACCCGGTGGATGAACGCTCGGCTCTTCGTGTGGAGGATTTGTCGCATTGCCAGGTTGAGTCCCGTCTGGGCCATCAGTTTTGCGCAATGAGAATGTCTTCAAATTGTATGACCCCTTGACATCACTTCGCTTGCCATGGGATCTTTGGGCTCCCGCTGAAGTCTGGCGGCAAACCATGCAGTAGGTGCCCCCTCAATTAGTTCAGAAATTGAGGGAGGGCCTCGTTGATGGTTCAAGGCTTGTTTGATCCAGCCCTAAGCCCTCGGTCCCCCTCACCAAACACCAAAGCAACCCCAAAAACAGCTGTGAAAAGAAAACCTGTGACAGACGCTTCTAATGGGGCCCTTATGAACCTTTTATGACCTGGTTAGCAAGGCCAAAAGTCAATGGGATGCGACTGAAGAGGTGAACTGGCGGCGCCAGCACACGGAGGTGCTACATGAGCAGATCTCCTCCCTGGAGCGGCAGCGAGCACTCTGGGAGGAGACATGGCATCGTAATTTCACAGCCAGGTGTTCATTTCACAGTCCACCAACCAAAGCAAGGGCGGGTTCCTGTTTGGAAAGCTGACCAAGCAGAAGCAAAGTAAGTTTCTGAGATTGATTTCTCATGGGGCTGACAGAGGTGGATCTTTTGGTTATCCTTGGTTGGTGATGAGAATTGCTCGAAGTGCCATCAACAAAAGAAAACAGACAAATGAAAAGATGGACAGAGAAGAGACTCACCTTCCTTCACTATATCCAGTCTCATCCCGTTCTCTTATCTATGTTTTTTCTCATGTTGATCATTTGTTTATGGATGTTTATGGCTGCTGCATTTATTGTGTGCCTTATATGACTATGTCTTTCTTTCTTGCTTTATTGTTATTGTCCAGTCTTGCTTGTATATTTTGCAGCTACGCAGGGTGCTGGAACGAAGGTCCTTCCTTGGATAGTCCTTCTGCTCGTTTGGCTCAGCCAAGGAGAAGGTACGGCAGCTGCGGGGTGAGAGCTGCACCTCGCAGCCCAACAAGATGGCGCTTTGGCCGAAACGGCTGGCACCCGTCGATCTCCGAGCGTGAAATCCGGGGGTTTGGCGAAGTGGGTTCTCACAATTCCGTTGAACGGGTTCCAGTCAACAGGTTCCAGCTGGCACCAAAGGATAGAATCCTGGAGCCCATTTGTTAGAACCCATTGGGGCTTTTCCAAGCAACCGCAACCTCTTCAAGAAGGGCAATGCCCCCAATCAGACGCCTCAATGGCGCGCTGCTTCTTCATTCCTGCTCTGGATTGTGTTCGTCGTTTTTGTATGGGCGTTGAGGTGAGACAGGTGCACTCAAAGGAAACGACCCTTTTGCCATCCCATACAAAAGCAGAGGAAGAGCATGTTGGAGATGCGCTGCCTTGCCAAGAGCAACCGTGGAAGCGGGATCGCAAGACTTCCGCATGTCCGAATGGCCAAGTTACCATGTCCATGATTGGGGGAAGGGCAAGGCGGTTTCGTGTGTCATTTAATTTGAGAATCAGCACCAACACCGACACCCAGCCAAGCAGTCGTTCGTGCTTGCGCGCGCGACTGCATCCCCAGCATTCCCCGGCATCCCAAAAAAACACCGCGAAACACGACCAACACACACTACACAGTGTTTGCGATGTTTGCCACATACTGGCTGCGACCAGGGATGCTGAGGAGGAGTTTGGTGCTAACCAAGCATGTCAGCCGTCCCTACGCTGGCTGGTTGTTTGCGACGGCCTTTCGAATGGGGGGGTTGTTGCATGGAATCCAACGTGAAAATGATGCCGTTTGAACAGGTTCACCTGGATTTGACACATGTTTGCATGTCTTTTTGTGAACCTTTTGTCCTGTCAGCCATGTCCTCCCAATGTCGAGAGGCACACTTGCGGCCCAAGAGCCCCAAAGCGCAGCCGGAGGAGACAAGGCCCGGCGTGCTTCACGGGCGCATTCCGGTTGGTGTTACCTTGTAAACGCGTTTGCTTGGATGTGACATCCAAGTTGTCACTTGGATTGGTTGTTTGAAGATTGAAGGCTTGTCGTGTGGTTTGCTTCAGGCTCGGCTTGAACTCGAATCGCGGGAGCTCCACGAACCTTTGAGTGCCAGGGGCCAGCTTGGGGTCATGACGATTTCCGTTGGAGTCGGGTCAAAACCACAAGAGAGGGTGTGTGTGTGTGTGCCCAGGCCACCCAGGCAAGGCCATGCCTTTGCCCTGCTGGCGAATGAGCCGGATATCGCCTCCTTACTGCAGAATGCCACGGCTAGGGACGTTTTTGCCAAGCTGCAGAACCCACAGGCGGTTCGGCGCTGGTCAATCACCAGTGCGGGGAATTGACTCGTTGATACCATGTTGGCGGCTAATCCAAGCAAGATTCGAACAGAGTGCCCCTCAGTACGGAAAATGCAGGCACAGGTGTTGTGCCTGCCACCTGTCAAATATGTCTGCAGTATGTTGTCCGATCTTTTGGCGCATGTGACAATTGCTGGGTTGTTTTCTTTGAACAAGTGGGCGGATCCGGTTTGCAGTCTTTTGCGAGCTTAAACTCCTTGCGACGTTCTCGCCTGGTGGCGCTCGTCATTTCAGTGAAGCATTGGTGAATTCTGCAGCTTGGAATCCCTGCGCAGGCACTACGGCCAATTCAGCTGCGGCAGCCGGGCCAGGTATCCACGCCCGAGCTGCTCCAGGCAGACGTGGCCCAGCAAAGGGCGGAGGAGGCAAGGGTTGAGCAGCAGGAGCTCGCGGCGGCGGAGCTGCTGGCAAAGCGTCAGGCGGATGCCAAACGCGCGAGAGAACATCAATATAGACGCCAACATGCTACGGCACAATGCACAAGCAGCGAAAGCTGAACAACCGAATGGACTACATGCGCATTGCAAGATGTTGGATTCTTGGAGTATGGTGTAATGCGCCACTGGCTGTTGTTTGGCGGCGCTTGTTGCAGGAGATGTCGGAGGCTTTGCAGAGGGAGCTCCAAGACATGCGGATCATGGAGGCACAAAGGCAGCGGAAGCGGGAGCAAATGCGTGCACAGCTCCAGGAGGAGCTTGAGACTTGGCAGAGCTCCTTGTTTGGTTTGTGTTTGTGAGTTCTGTTTTGGCAAATGTGCCGATCGTTGCTCGCGTGTTTGTGCAGATGGGCTAAGGCACGAGGCGTGACCAGCACCCTAAAAATGGTGGGGTTTCTGGTTGAGTGAGGGCAATATTTTTGGATTTGACTTTGTAACAGATGAGCGAAATTGCGCTATCCTTTGCTCATAAGTAGCACCGTGTGTTGAAGTAAAGGCAGCTCTGATCACTGGACAAGTAGAACCGCTCAAGCTAGGTCTGGGGAGCATGCTCAGCACGACGAGTGGGTGGGATGTACCGGATGGTTTGAACTGCCAAAGTCACTTGGCACTTGTTCAGCATTGCGTGCTACTCCCGGCCAAGCCATCATACTGTAGAGGAATGATTCAAGCCTAGCAGGAAACTGAGTCGACGCAGTCACGCTGCAAAAATTAGGGTCTTACGTTCTACTCATTACTCAGCGAGAGCTGAGGAAGGCCAGCTTTCGGAAGAGAGGAAGGCATGGCTGGTGCAGCAGACGCAACAAGAGCGAGAGAGGCAAAAGCAGTCGCAGAAGCGGCGCTTGGTTCACCAAGAACTGCTGCAAGTGGAGCTGGAGAGGCTCAAAGACAAAGTTGCATTGAAAAGGACAGGTCTCCTGATGCATGTCGAAGTCAGGGCTTTGTGACAAGCTGATGCATTCAGTTGCGGTAGATGGTATGATCTGTGGTTGGCACACGCATCTCGGACATCATGTCTAGGAGTTTCACACGTCAGTCAGTCTTCATTTGTTCGGCCAAAGGAGAACTTAAAGAGGGGACAATAGCTACATTCTGCGCGCAGGACTTTCCAGGCACCATCCGCAGAGCCCGACTGCACGGAGCGATTGGAAGAGCTGAGACAAGTCCGGCTGGAGACTGACCAGTGCTCCCGGGTCATTGCCAGCGCCAGCTCCAGTCCGCTGCCAAGCCCTTTGCCGTTGCAGGTGCCCACGTCTACCCTCGAGCATGGATTGGCTTCTTGGCTGCAGCTTGAAGTCTGAACATGTTCTTTCATTTGCTGCCGCCGAGTGTCTTTCCGCTTTCTGCCGGCTGCAGAGCTTGACTGGAAGGAACCCCTCCACGCTTCCAAGGTGCCTCGGGCTGTTGAGGTGGACTTTGGCGAGCCCGACATCGCGGCAGTCCTGGAAACAAAGGAGGCCTGTACGGCAAGTTGGGTGAACCCACCAAAATTGAGTGCCTAGGCGGCGCAGTGGATTTCTGAGTAAGTTGCAGAGGCAGCTGTCCATGCAGTGATTTGCAACATGTCCCGATCGAACATTCGCATGAGGGGAGGGACTCTGCAAGATTTCTTGTTGTACAAATTGAGGGACTTGGCTAGCCGAAGCTAGGGTGCTTGCCGTGCACCAAACCCGAGATCAGAACATGCAAGTCTCATTCTACCTGCTGAGTCGCATGTCCACTTCCACTTCCCTTCCAGCATGAGAACAAGCATGGAAAGTTCAGCATGGGGATACAGCACTTTGACACAGGTTGGTGCTTGGAACCTCTCCCTGGACGCATGGCTGCTCTACTATGCAGACTTGCGCCCCGCCTGAAATCTAGCCCAAGGTGGTTGAGTCTTGTGGCCTGGGTCAAGGCAATGCCAACAGTATATCGGTCCAGGGGCCCGTAGGATTCCCATCCGACCCTTGCGAAGGGCAGGGTGAGTTCAAAGCTGGAAACTTCCAGAATTCCCACCTGTGCTTTGCCAGAAGACGACCATAAACCTGACCCCTCTCCCATCTGAAGTGTGCATATGAAGAGGTTCTCATTGGTTGGTCGCAAAACCCAGCTGTAAAGCTCTATTTGAACCTTTGCCGTGGCCGAACTTCCGACCTCCAGAGCTCACAGCTGTTTTGGGCTGAGGCTAAATGGCAAGTCCAGAGACAAAGTCGCGGATGTGGAGGTGTTGGAACGCACGTTCCATGCCTTGTCCTTCGGGAAAGACCGCCTGGATTCCGAGACCTGCCGGAGGGCCTTGAGCAGCTCTCTTGCGGAAGTTGCCAAAGACATGCTCAGCTATTGGGTGATGCGGGTGCAGTCGGAAGTGGCGGGCGAGACTGAGAAGGAGGAGATGCCCACATGGCATAAAGAAGAGAAGGGCCGGGCAACCCCACCGCAACAGCAAAGAACCAGCTTTGAAGCTGCCCAGCAATCGCAGCAAGAGGCATCACCAGAGGAGGCTGGCAAAATCGGAGCGAGGAAGAGCGCACAGCCCCAGCAGCAAACCAGCTCGAAACACGCCCAGCTAGTGCAGCAGGAAGCGTTCTCACAGGAGGCTGGCAAGAGAAGCAACAAGGCGAACGACTCACATAACGGCAAGTTGGCTAACAAGCAAAAGGCGTCAGAACTCACAAAGAGCTTGTACGCCAAACAAGCTGACAAAGAAGCTCAACCTGTGGCGCAAGCCAGCGCACAGCAACCACCGCAAACAAGCTTAAAAGACGCGGAAGCACCACGACAGGAAGCTGGCAAGATAGGACCAAGCAAGGCGGATGACTCGCAAACCGACAAGTTGGCTACCAAGCAAAAAGCTTCAGAACTCACAAAGAGCTTGTACGCCAAACACGCTGACAAAGAAGCTCAACCTGCAGCACATGCCAGCGCACAGCAACCACCGCAAACAAGCTTAAAAGACGCGGAAGCACCACGACAGGAGGCTGGCAAGATAAAGCCAAGCACGGCGGATGACTCGCAGAACGACAAGTTGGCTACCAAGCAAAAGGCTTCAGAACTCACAAAGAGCTTGTACGCCAAACACGCTGACAAAGAAGCTCAACCTGCAGCACATGCCAGCGCACAGCCCCAGCAGCAAACAAGCTGGAAAGACGCGCACCTGGCACGGCAGCAAGCATTACCACAGGACACTGGCAAGATAGGGGAGAACACACAGCACAGCAAGGCTCACAAGCAAGAGGCTTCAGAACTCGCAAAGAGCTTGCACGCCAACAAAGAAGCTCAGCCTGCAGCACATGCAAGCGCAGAGCCCCAACAGCAAACAAGCTCGAAAGACGCGCGGCTATCGCAGAAGGAAGTGTCACCACAGGTGGCTGGCAAGATCAGCGCGGTAGCAACAGAGAAGGCAGGTGACAGCAAGCGTTTAGACCCGCAGAGCGGCCGAAAAGAGAATGAGGAGGAGGAGGAAGAACAAGATCACGAGGTGGTTACAAAGCAACAGTGGGTTGACTGGTTCATAAGCGCCGAGCTGGACAAGCAAGAGCAAGAGCTACTGCAGGATATCCTTCGCGCTTACAGCCAGGAGCAGCCGCTTTCGCCAGAGGAGCTTATCGCTGTGATCAAGAAGCATGGGAAGAAGGCCAGTGACGCAGACAAGGAGAAGCTAAAGGAGTGGATGGAGTGGGTGCAGGACATGTACCCACAGCCACAAGCAGATTCAAGCAAGAGAGAAGCCAGTCTAGATCAGCAAGAGGCGTCACCGCAGGATGCTGGCAAGATTAGAGCAAGCAAAGGGGATGACTCAGAGAAGAACAAGTTGGCTCACAAGCAAGAGGCCGCAGAACTGGCAAAGAGTTCATATACCAAGCACGCCGACAAAGAGGCACAACCTGCAGCGCACGCCAGCGCACAGCCCCAGCAGCGAACAAGCTCGAAAGACGCGCACCTGGCACGGCAGCAAGCAGTACCACAGGAGAAGGGCAATGACAGAGCGGTAGCATCAGAGAATGCTGGTGACAGCAAGCGTTCGGATTTGCAGGGCGGCAGCCAAAGGGAAGAGGAAGCAGCGGAAGAGGAGGAGGAGGAAGTTTTTACAAAACAACAGTGGGTTGACTGGTTCATAAGCGCCGAGCTGGACAAGCAAGAGCAAGAGCTACTGCAGGATATCCTTCGCGCTTACAGCCAGGAGCAGCCGCTTTCGCCAGAGGAGCTTATCGCTGTGATCAAGAAGCATGGGAAGAAGGCCAGTGACGCAGACAAGGAGAAGCTAAAGGAGTGGATGGAGTGGGTGCAGGAAATGGATCAATAGGAGCGTCTTAAGTGTTCAATCGCCAAAGCGTAGGATCCTTTTGACCCACGAGTGTTTCCACCTTCTGTTTTCAACAGGCTAAAGTGGCCTGTGGCACCAAAGGTGTGGCGCCGGCCTGGCCAAAGATGCCAATGGCTGCCCGGGCGCGGAGCGAAGTTGGCCAGCGAGAAACTGGGAGCTGGCACATGGGTATGTGCCAACATGGGGAGCTCACAAAAATAACCAACCTGAAAGGGGGACCCTCAGAACGGAGTATGTCAGCAAATCAGCAAGGGTCCAATGCCAACTGCTGTGGCAACCAGTCCGAAACAGGTTTGCGTTTGGAATGGAACCTGCCGATGCTCATTGTGACTTGGCAATGGCCATCTCCATTTCGTGTGAGCCCATTTCAAGATCGAGGCCTTGCGGGACTCAGTGGGTCACCAAAGGCCCCAGTCTTGGCTCCGGACTGCCCTCATCTCTGAGATGCTTGCAACATTTTGCAACAATCTCAGGGTAGTGAACGCTTGTTTTCCCGATTCTTCCTGGAAGTGGGTTCGGTGTTTGCTGGCACACTTGTCTTCGTGTCGGTCATGCATGCTCCGGTCACAACATTTGGCTGCTTGGGAGGGCCCCAAGAACTCCCATGGCGCATGTGTGGTGGGCCATGCAAGACTCAGGTTTGCACCTTGGCAGGGGACGCCACCTCAGCATTCCATGCTATGATTCAGAAGCCACGTGCTTTGAGCACATGTGCCCTTCGGGAGCTTGCCCACGTCCACTTCAGGGGGCTCCAGCCACCTTTGACTAGGGGTTCGAGCTTTCAGCGAATGGAAGTTGAACGTCAAGCTGAGCACCTGAGAGGCTTGCGATCACGGTGCTTCTCCCTTCCATCGTGTGCCCCAATTCATCCTGGTGACATGTACTCGCAGCCAGGCGCAAACACGAACCCGTGCCACGTGTTTGCTCTTATGTACTTTTGTTTGAATGGGGACGGCTTCATCATCACATGCACTTGCTTCAGCTGGTTAGCACAGCCTGTCGCCTGCAGCCATGCCGCTCCGGGGTGCTCTCAGCGCTGCCAGCTTGGCGCAGCTGCCAAGGCATCCGCGGGCGCTCTCTGCAATCCCATGGCTGGCAATGGTGCCTTTGCCTGCAGCGGCGGAAGAGGATGCAGTGCTGACACCGCTCCTTGGCGTGGCACTGCTGCTGTGGCTGGCCCCTTGGCGGTGAGCGTCACGGTATGTCACGGTGTTGCATGCAGAGGTGGTTCCTGTTAGCTCAAGTCTGCAAACATCACCTCCAAAAGTTCATATCGTCCCATACCACTTGGGCAAACAGAATCGGTGTTGTTTGGCCGAGATTTGGTGCATCGCTGACAAGCTCCCTTCACCTCAGGTGATGCTGAGCAGCATCGTGCTGCAGATGGGCGGGGCAGAGCCCGGGGTGGAGTCAACCTACTGGTGGATGGGCGCCGATGAGCCGAAGCGGAAGGCTCCGCGGCCTCCAAAGGCGAGGCCTTTAGACTGATGCCTCACGGAGGATGCGCAGGCCGTCGCGTGGAATTTTCGGGGCGAAGCCAGGCCCCTTCCAGCTCGCGGGCCAGGGCAAAAGGGGACTTTGGTGGAGCTGTTTGAACCAGCAGGGGTTGTGGGAAGCCACTTAGACTTGAATGTGTCAATTGGTTCATGCATTGTTTGCGGTGCTTGCGCAAGATGATTTCAAAAACAAGCAAAAGAAGCATTCCATTCTGACACTGCCTGAGGCGGGAACGCGGGTTCTCCCGGAGAGCAAGGCCCCGAGATGTGAATCATGTCGAAGAGTGAGCATTTGGACGTCCAGCTTGAAGTTGGGTTCCTGGTATGTGTTTGTGTGAGTGTGAGTGTGTATACTTGCACGTATATTTGTCCGACTGGATCTTGAAAGTGGGGATGGTGAGTTTCATGAATAAGCAGGGTGGACAGTGATAAGGTTTGCTGTTTGTTTTCTAGGGGCAGCCTGGAAACAGGGGCACCTGCTGCATAAGAACTTGAAACCTGGATTTGGAGCATCAAAGTGAACAAGTCACGCCCACCATCCCCGAGAGGTTGATTCCACTTGGATGGTGCTTCAAGGTACCTGAGCCCATCCCACTTTGCGCCAGGCCGACCGAGCCGCTTTGCAGAAGATGTTCTCTCTTCCCATTGACAGCAACCAGCCTAGGTTGCTGGTTGTGTGGCAGCTTGGTTCCAGTACGCCGATGTTTCGGAGTAGCTAACTCTTTGTGAATAGCTAGCTAATTAACTGCATGCCGAGGGGATCTCTACAAAGCGTTTTGTGCATTGTTGCTCTTCTGAACTCGTCTGCAAAAACCAAGGTGGGGGGCGCCTACTCTTCCAATGTCAGAATAGAATCTTCACCGCCCCAAATGAAGCTCATGAGCACGGTACCGCCCCGCTCAGGCCAAGGAGCCTTGACATCAGAGGACGGAACGCACCAGAAATGGGCAAGGCATTGTTTTAGGTCCAAGGCGTGTTTGTGTAGACGTGGCATCTCAACATCCAGTGATCCAGCCTTCATGCCTGGTAGCAATTACCTTCCATCAAAGCGCGTTGGACAGGTGGGCTTCGAGGCTTGTGCTCACAGGGCTAGGTTTGGTACATCACTGCAAAAGAGGCTCAGGCTTGTGCAGGCAATCGGAGTTTTGACAGAATTTCACAAGTGGCTACAAGGAGTGATCGGCCGTGCACTGTGCAGTCGGCTTGATTCTTCATAGTGTCTAAGAGCGAATCCATATCGTACACTTCAAAACCACACCCGCGGGGGGAAAGCTGATGAATTCCAGAACAACGGGTGTCCTTAGATGCCGTTGGATCACAGCTGTACGGAGGCTGTTGCAAGGGCAATTTGCAGGTGGCGCTCTTTAGCAAAGCACGCATTCTGCAGGACTGGAATCAGCACATCGCACAGGAAGGCGCCCGCCTCTTGCCCTACATGCGCAACTGCCGAGGGTGCGTCGAGTGAGCCGAGTCTCGTCAAATCATGCATGTGTCGTTTCTTGCATTGCCCATGGGTAGTTTTTTTAAGAGCCCTGCGTTCCTACAGTTGGCTCGCTTGCTATTGGACCTGAAGCCTGGCTCAACTGCAGCTATTTGCAGCCCACTGTCTGGCTTTTAGTAGGCCAACAGCTTGGAAGGGGGAAGGGCCACAGCCATGGCGCAAGCTGAGCCTTGGCTTGTGGCAGCAGCGGTTTCAGCCGTGCTGGCCTTTCAACATCGAAGTATCCTAAGCTTTGAGCAGTCCTTGCTCTTGCCTTGCTGGCCAGCCTGTTGCGCCTACCAGCTCTCGCGCGCGAGGAAGCGCAAGAGGGTGCGGGGGTGGGAGTCTTGGGCTCAAGGATCGGCACGCTTCCTCCAGATCAGCGCGCTGCTCGGCGTGTGCAGTTGCATGCTGCGCTTCGTTTGGCATGATTCCCCGATGGATGCAGCGGTGGTTTTGCCATGTGCTGCCTTGCTGTCTTTAGCGCAGATGACCATCCCCACGCCTGAGATGCCGCTGGGGGATTTCGTGCCTTGGTGGTCGCTCACGGTCATCTTCTGCATTGGCACTTTCGGTGGCCCGGAGTTGAAAGCAGCAGCTGGTCTCTCCATGGGACGCTGTGATGGGGGGCCCTTGGTTTGGTCTGCTCTATGTGCAATTGTTTCCACTGTGGCGCTAGTAGCATGGTCCAGATGTTGGGTGCGAGGCGCGGCAAAGTGCGCTTTCAGTTTTACAATGTTCTCCTGAACAACAAGCATGCCTTTAAAAGGGGTTCTCATTCAAGCTCAAACCCCTAGTGGCCCCTGGCTTGTAAGCGAAAGTCAATGGAAAACCCGTGCAAGGTGAGCATGGCACGATCCAAGATGCGTTGGCGCCACTCGTCTCGCCGCTGTCTCTCTTCCCATTGGCGATTGTTAATGCTCTGAGGGAGGCTTGGCCGGCAGTAGTAGTGCTGCATGCATTCTGGATCGTGCCCAGCTGGGAGGAACTTAGAACCTCAGAAAGCTGACCTTGAAAGGGGTTCCTAAAACATGTTACATGAGAACTGCGTGCACCTGCTTTGCTGGCGCGGCACATGACTGCTTCATGATTCATGAGTGTTGCTGTGCTGCAAAGCGTCCCACCAGCGCTTCAAACCAAGGAAGAGCTCCAGTTCCGCTTTCTGTTTCTCAGTGCGATCATCGCTGGGGGTGCTTCCAGCTCGACGCCATTGATGGCCTTTGCCATGGTGCAACACTCCATCTATTTCGCTCTCTTGCACTTTCTGGGAGGCTTTCCAACTGGCCACAGTGGCTTCGGCTTGGTCTTCATTTGGAGTGTCTTCCTAGATCTTCTCCGCGTGTGGAGTGGTGGTATGGGCCTGGTGTTCCTCCTCCATGTGCAGGCGGATGTGGCCATTTTTGCTCTGGTGCTGGTGCGGGAATGGCAGCGTGAGCGCGACGAGTAAAATCGGGCAGTGCACTCGCGTGAGCTGTTTGCGGGAGCTCAGCTCGCAGGCTGGAGAGACGCCATCCTGGAAACTCCCCCGGGCTGGGTGCCGCTCTTAGGTCTCGGGTGCTTCTTTTAGGTCAAGTTGAAGCACGTATGTTTTTTTTGCCTCAGCATTCGGGCAACTTTCAAGGAACATCTCATTGCTTCGTGCTTATTTCAGGGCTCGTGGTGCTCGCATCACGGGCCACTTCAGCCATGCGGCTCAAAATCCATCGGGTGCAACCTTGGCAGCTCGCCCAAGGGCTTTTCCACTCGTTCTTTCCTTGGCTTGCCCCAGAAACATGCAAATCCTCCTTTCAACCAGCAAGTTGAAAAAAAAGCTGCCCCGAGCAAAGTTCTAGGCCTCATGCTTTCTTCCACACCTTCTGTTGGCGTCTTGCCACTCATGGCGCTTGCTCATGTTTGCAGGACCTGAACCTCGGGACAAATCGCAAGCCCCCCGATCCAGGCGGTGCTACTGAAAGGCAGTGCCTGGCAGGGAGGCAAGATCGATCTTGACTGCATGGATTGAATGCTTAGGGAAATGGCAGGGCTGATGAAATGTTTCATGAGATGAGGGCCCCACTTGCACATCAAGCCCAACTTGTCCGAATGAGTGTGTAGGGGCTTGAGTTGTGCCCCACAATTGTGCGTGGAGGAGTTTGCGGGGCACTAATTACATTTGCTAGGGTGTTCAGAATGGGACACTGGGGGCCT